ATGTATACGGCGCCTCTAATACTGTGCAACCGATGCGGTGCAATCTACGCTATGAATTCCACGCGATGCAATATATGCACGGCATCGACTGCGCAGCTGGAATACAAGAACAGCGCGTTGGGTCCCTGGCGAGAAGCGGCGGCGGAAGGCACTGTTGTTTTAGGCGTTCAGTGGCTTACCCGCTCTGCACGCAGTGCTGCAAAAGCACCGCCTTGCAGCTCGCGCTCACGTTCTGGGACCAGCTCCTGAAATGCTCCGAAACCACTCGCCCAGGCAGTGCAATGTTTTTTCTGCTCTGCGGGCTCGGCTGGCGACGCAGGGCTCTGAAACGCATCGGGACGTAACTTTGCTACGATCTGATTGCCTGCGCACCCCTCGCTCAACCCGCTTTTGCGAGCTCGCGCCGGATCTGATATCACGGTATCTTGTTCGAGCGTTCGGGCGTGCATTTCTGCCCGCCGCTCGTAGTTGCGTCGGGCGCCCGCGCGCGCGCGTGCTCCACAGTTCGCCCATGATGGGCGGAAAAAATGCTTTCATGGCACAATGCAACGCAGCTTCTGTGAATGCGCCACATCTGCGCAAATGGGCGCCACTGGTTTCCTCAACTGCGAACGCGCGCCCAATAGCGCCCGCGGCAGAACCTGACCGGCGCCCGAGGTCACTCGCAGTAGATCCGAATCGAAAGTGCCAGTTCTCAGCCTGCGTCTGGGCCGCCAGCGCAACTCCCCGTGACATCGCAGTAACACGCGCGCGCCCTCCATTCCTGATTCTGCCGCGAGGTCCAAAGCCGCGCGCCCTGTAGCAGCGTCGCATGTCACTTCGCGCTGCTGCGAGGCAGAATCCATTCCTGCTTGCTCTTTAGCAGCGCGCGCCGAAGCAGGGGTCGCGCGCTCTGTGGCCGCGTGATTTGTAGATTCGCGCTGTTGCGCAATAGAATCAATTTCTGCATGCCCCGTAGCAGTGGGCGCCAAAGGTGCAGGGGGGCGGCTGCGCGACGCCATGCGACATCTCTACTTGTCGAGCGCGCGTCGAGCCAACGCGACCGCGGAAAAATAACTCGCGCGCAGCGCGAATAAAAACGCGCATTCGCGCAGGGAGAAGGCAGGGGGGCCAACGCGCCCGTCGTCGCGGCGCGAGCTACGCGGCGCGAGCGATTTGGCGGGGGAGGGGGGGGCGGAAGAACAAAGGCGGAGGAAGAGGGCGAGGGCCGGGAGAAGGGTGGGGGCGAGGAAGATAATTTCAATTCAGGATGAGCTATTGCACTCAGCCGTGCGGCGCAAGCTATGCGCCGCAATCTGTGCGATGCAATTCGCCTTGCCGAACCTGAAATTGCCAGCTCCACTGTTCGCGCAGACATCCCGCCCGCCCGCCCGCAACTTGGCTTGCAAAAGCCACGCGGCGGCGATTGCGATGAGTGCATGGTGTTGGCTGGTAAATCTTCGCAGCCGCGCTAGCCCGCGCATGCTCGCGCGCGCAGCTGCCAGCTAGCGCGGCGCGACCGACGCGGCCGCGGCGGCGTTGGCCGCCGGGCAAATTCCAGCAGGCACTTCACTGCGAATCGACGACTTGGGCGGGCGCGGTGCCACGGCAACGTCGACGCCGGTAGACGGGGCGATGGTCGTAGCGGCGTTGGCGACGATGATGACAGCGGAGACGGCGCGGCCAGCGACGGCGCCGATGCTGATCGCGTCGGCGACGATGGCGGCGCCATCGCGTCGGCGATGAAGGTTTTGCAAGGATTTCGGCGCGCGCGCGGCCGTCGCGCGAGAGTGGCCCGCGCGATTCGACGCGGATCGCGCCCCGCCCCCCTCCCCCCAGCGCGCGAGGGCAAGGGCGGTCGAATGACTTCGACGCGCGGCGCGAGTGGCTCGTTAGTCACAATTCAATGAACATGTTAAATAACTTCTGGTTTCCGAAAGAATTCGCGAGAGCGCGAGCGCCGTTTTTATTATTATGTGTTTGCTTTGTTCTGTTGATTTCATCATTGCTTTTCTTCTCCGGAACCATGTGTCATGTATATGCGCCCGGGGCAGCCGCTTCAGGAATTATTGGTTCTTGGCTGATTTTGGCACGCGCGCGCGACGACGCGCGCGCATGCACTTCGCTTTTCTTCTGCAGGGGATTATCGTGACAGCGCTCGCGCGGGGGCGCTCGAATGACTTCGAAATGCGCGCGCGCGAAGCCCGCGTGGTAGCGCATCGTGAACCTGTGCTTGCATGAGAGATTGCCTGTTAAAAGTGCTATGTGTTTGCTATGTTTTTGGGGGCGCTCGATTTGGACATCCATGCGAAACCAAAGGCGTTTGAAGGATTTCGGCACACGCGCGGGGCTACGCGCGCGCGCACTTCGTCTCATTATTTGCAAAGAGTTTCCTGGCAACGTATGATTTTAAGAAACGAGCGCGCGCACATGCTACTTTTTTGAAGGATGGCGGGGGGTGGTCGATGCCGACCTGCCTGGCGTGGTAAGACTTTTTACTTGGGGTGGGCGGTGGTGCAGAATCGCACGCAAATTGCACTGCGAAAAAAAGGGGTCGATTCTCCTCGGGGGGGGGGTCCATTATCTTTTTAGAAAGGGCACTCTACGTGATGCAATCTATGTGGTGCAAGTTGATTTTTACACATGATTTGACACATCCCACGCTCTTGCAAACATCCCACCCACCCACCCGCAACTTGGTTTGCACAACCTCTTAAGACGGACTACGGCGACACCGACGACAACGACTGCGACGACGCCAACGACGTCTCCGACGACTTCGACGACGACAACGACGCCGACGACAACGAAGACGACGACGACGCCAACGAAGACGACGACGAGGGAGGAGGAAGGACGACGACGGCGACAACGACAACGACGACAACGATGAGGGAGGAGGGAGGACGGCGACGACGCGAACGACGAAGAAGGAGGAAGGCCGGCGACGCCGACGACGACAACGACGAGGGAAAAGGGAAGACGACGACGACAACGACGACGACGACGACGGCGACGAAATAAGAGGGACGACGACGGGGCGCCGACGACGGACGACGACGACGAGGGAGGAGGATGCAGGGCGACCACGGCGACAACGACGACGGGAACGACCACGACGCCAAAGAGGACGACGACGATGAACGCGAGGAAAGACAGAGGACGACGTAGGCGACGACGGCGACGACGCGGGAGGAGGGAGGACGGCGACGACGACGACGACGACGACGCAAGGTCGCGCGCGCGCTTTTGTTGAAAATCCGCGTTGCGAAACCTTGTGCTTTTGTATTTTTTTTGGGCGCGCGATTCTGAAATCATTCCGACACCGATGGGTTTTGAAGGTTTTCGGCATACGCGCGCGACGACGCGCGCGTCTGCACGTCGTCCCATTTTTGCAATGGGTTCTCGCGACGGCACACGCGCAAGGGCGTTTGACAAATTTCGACATGCGCGTGCGAAGCCCGTTTAATAGCATCTTGTGAAAATCATGAAAAACCTATGGTTGTCTGAAGATTTCGCAAGACTCGCGAGGAAGCTTTTTTTAGCAAATCAGTGTTGCGAAACCATGTGGTGTTGTATGTTTTTTTGGGGGGAAACTCGATTGCGAAATCCTTCCGGCACCGAAGGTTTTTGGACAATGTCGGCATGCGCGCGCGACGACGCGCGCGCGTGCACTTTCCCATTTGTTGCAAGGGATTCGCGAACAAGTGTTATGTTAGAACAAAAATGTCACCGCATAGCGTTTTTTACTTTACAAAGGAACCTCAGGGGGGGAACCTGGCCCCCCGGGGAGAATGTAAAGTCATTTTCAGGATGGACATGTGGCCATAATCATATGTGATTTACATGCCCGAAAGGGGGGCCGATAACGCCAGGGTGGGGGGGGTAGAGTCTATTCTGTTTTTAGAACGGAGAATTAAGTGGTGCAGTACGCGTGGTCTTGTTCATTGTTGCCCATGAGCTGGCGCACCCCATGCTCTTGCAAACGCCCCGCCCACCCAACCGCAACCTGGTTTGCAAAACCCATGCGGCGGCGTTTGCGATGCATGCTTGGCGTTGGCCGGCGCATCCCTGCCGCCGCGCCAACCCTAGCGCGCGCGCGGCGGCCAGCTAGTATGGCGCCGCCGACGCGGCCGCGGCGGCGCTGACCGCTGGGCGCATCCCAGCGGGCACTTCAGTGCGAGTCGGCGACTTGGGCGGGCGCGGTATCATGGCACCGCCGACTGCAGTAGACGCGACGATGATAATAGCAGCGGTGGCGACGATGATGACAGCGGCGACGGCGTGGCCAGTGACGGCGCCGATGCTGATCGCGCCGGCGACGATGTCGGCGTCCTCGCGTCGGCGATGAGTGGCCCGCGCCCGCGCGGCCGGCGCGCGAGAGTGACCCGCGCGGCGCCATTGGGCACGGATCGTGCCCCCCCCCCCAGCGCGCGCGCAAAGGCGCGCGAATGATGCCGGCATGCGGCGCCACAGGCCCATTTGGCACAACTCCATGAAGAGGTCGAAAAACCGATGGTTGTCTCAAGAATTCGCAGGGGCGCGCGCGCGAGCTTTTTCTGAGAACTTACAAATCGAGCCGCGCGCGCAGGGCCTCGACCCCGCCTGCTGCCGCCGTCGGCGGGAGCGGCGCGGCGCGAGGCTGCCCCCCGTGGGCGGCCGCGACGGGCCCAGGCCCGACGCGCCGCCGCATGGGCGGCCTCGCGCCACGCCTGCGCGCAGCAGACAGGGTGGAGGGTGGGAGAAAGAACGCGCGCCAGGGAGGCACCCGCCGCGCGCGCGCGCGGGCGCGCGCGCGGCGCCTCCTCCAAATTGCAAATCACCTGCGGAGCGCACGCGCCGCGGGGGGCAGCGCCCTCCCCCCGCGGCGACGCAACCCTGGCGCTCGACGGCGCGATGGCCCGCGCCTGCGCAGCGAGGCCGCGGTCGCGTCGCACTGCCGCGCGCGCGACCTACGCGCAACCGTGGCCGATATGTGCCGCCCACAACGGTGGGCGTCTAGCGCACCTGCCGCTGTGGGCCTACCACAAATCGAGCCGCGCGCGCAGGGCCTCGACCCCGCCTGCTGCCGCCGCCTGTGGGAGCGGCGCGGCGCGAGGCTGCCCCCCGTGGGCGGCTGCGACGGGCCCAGGCCCGACGCACCGCCGCATGGGCGGCCTCGCGCCACGCCTGCGCGCAGACCCAATGCCACACGGCACGCAGGCGACACGGGCCGGCAACGCGCGCACACACCCGCTGCCGATCGCGCGGGGGCAGAGCACGGGCGCCGTCGCGCGCACACGCCCACGCGCAAGGAGCGGAACGTGGCGGCGCTGGCCACCGGCGCCGAACTGGCATCCTCGTCCGAATCAGACTCCAGCATGTGCGCCTGGCGCGTGCAATGCGACGCGGCGCGGGCGGAGGGCGCGTGGCCCCGCCTCCACGACCGCGCCCCTTTCCAGATCGTCACGGTCGAGATACGCCATGAAGGCGCAGGACCGCCACTCCCCGGCCGCGAGAATCTCGGCAAGCGTCGCGCTGCCTCCTGCAGGTCCTCGGCGTGGCCCCTGCGGAGGTCACGCGACCGAAACAGGTCTGCCCCCTGGACACCGAGGGCAGCGAGCATCTCGCGCAGGGTCCGCAGCGCAGCAGCCGCCGAGATGCCCCCGAAGAGCCCGCGGCCCAGGCCGCATCGCGCCACCCAGGGGCCCAGGGTGTGCACGGGGCACGTGGCGCGGCACGATGCGCACCGGCACCTCCGCGTCAGGCGACTGCCCTGCGCCCGGTTTTTCCGCCGCCGCAGCAGCAGCGTGAGCTCCGCTTCGCCAAGCACGAGCGCCGCCTGAAGGCATGGCGCGTCGCCGGCGTCGGCCACGCGCACGGCCGGCAACGCCTCGCTGGGAACCCTCAACAGAAACGTGTAGGCGAAGAGGAAAAGCATCGAAGCGCGGAGCCACTCGGGGCGGCGCGCGCCCAACTCGACCAGCGCGGCGACTGCGCCTTTCTGATGAACAAGCGGGGGCGCGGAGTCCAATCGGCCCGCGCCCGGACGGCGGCGCGCGCGCGCCTGACCTCGGGGCGGTCGAACACGGCGACGCAAACCCCAGACAGGAGGCAACCGATTTTGACGTAGCTGCAGCAATTTGCGCACGTCTCCCCGCAGCGAAAGAGGGCGCCCCAGGCGACCAAGTCCGCGCTGGCTGGCGGGAGCTGCATGCGCGGGTATTTCAGCACTCTGACGCAGAAGGCTTCCCAACACTTGAGGCCGCCTTCTCACGCTTGGGAGCGACCGCGCGCATGGTTGCAGCATAGCGCGAACGCGTTCTTCCTCCCGCCAACGGGCCGCATCTGCCGGACTGCGGAGGCGCGCAGCGGCCTCGGCGAGCGCCGCCCGGGGCCCGCGCGTCACAGGCCGCGCGATCGGCGCAGCCAGGCGGTCGAGGACGCTGGAGACGGGCGCCTCGCGAGCCACGGCGCGCAAGGAACATGCGAGCGCGCGCGGCAAATGACTCGCGCCTTAGGCGGCCCGGGCACAACCAGAGCGCCCGGCGCCGCGCGCGCCGCCGGCGACCGGCTGCGGGCGGGCGCGTGCCCGCCAGCTGCCGCGCCCACGGGGGCGGGCGCGCCTCCGGGGCACGCGCGGTGGGGGGGGGCAGCGCGCGCCGAAAACCCGCGCGCTGCCCAGCCTCGGCGCGCAGCAACTTTGGCAGTCCTGAATAAGTCATGCAGGACCTCGGCATTGGCCTGCGCGGTGGCTGGCCACCCCTCAAGACCTGCGGGGTCCGCGCCGACGAGTTCGCAAGCGCGCGAAGCCGTTCTCGGCCAGGAAGTCGGCTGCCCAGGCAACGGCCGACCTGGGCGCTGACGGGCGCAAGGAGCACAACTCAACGAAGAGAGACATAAAGCCGCGAGGCGCAACAGACAAAGCGAGCGACGCGCGTGATGCGCTATCCGCGCGCTCCCCGCCTGCGACAAGCGCGGGGCCCCGAGATGACAGGCGCGGCGGCGCGCCGCGCGCTCAGCCGCGGCGACAAGTTCAAGAAACGCGAACGCCCCGACACGCAAGAAGGCACCCGGGCGCTTCATGGCGCGCAATTTAGCCGAAGAGGCGCGCCACAGACAGGGCGCTCCAGGCGCCCGCGCTCCAGAACGCTTCGTCGAGCCACGGGCGCGCGCGCGCCGCGCCGATGCGTAGCAGGAGCGCGTCGCCCCCCCTGCAATGCGCAGCGCCCGCGGCCAGCCCGCAGCGCCGCGCAGGCGCGCGCGGGCTCGCCGAGACGGCAGATCGGCGAGATTCTCAGCAGTGGGCACGCGAAACACGGCGAGGTCGACGTCGAGCTCCACCGCGCGCCTCCACATGGAGTGGACGATGCACGAGTGGTCGAAGGATTTAGCGGCGCCCGTCCGCAGGCAAGACTCCGCGCCCGTATTGTCGCTGTAAATATGCAAATCGCAACCTTGCAATTCCCCTGAGCGAACGAGGACGGGGGGCCCGAACTGCCCGCCGGCGCGGGCAGACGCGCGCGAATGCAGTGCCTGCACAGGCGCACATGCCCAGCGCGATGGACAGGAGCTCCAGCCCCTGAATCTGGTTGTCACGGCGACGCTCGAACACCGCCATCAAGGACTCCGGGACGCGCGTAGAAGTGAACCGGATGCCCGAGGCGGTGACGAGCACCGCGGCCACGCACGGTGGTTGGCCCGACGCGTCCGCGAAGAGGGTTGCGCGGGGCCGCGCCTTGTCGGCCCATGAACGCGCCTGGCACAAGTCCATGGCCAAGACCTCGCGCCACCACTGCAAGGCTTGCATCAACGGCTCATGTGCCTTCGATGCCCCGCGATGCGATTGCGCGTGCAACGGCCTGCGAGCACGGGGCGCGGCGCCCCGCCCCCCTCCGGGCGCGCGGGCGCAGCGCCGCGCCTGAGCAGAGCGCGCCCCAGGCGGCGGAAGGGATGCAACGCTGCCCAAGCCAAGCCCCCCGCCAGCTTGGACGATGCACCTGCGCAGCGAACGCAAAATCCCGAAAGACTTTGGGGGGGCGCGCGATCAGCCTGGCGCGAGGGCGCGCGTCGCGAGCGCTTCGCCGATGACGCGCTGCCACTTGGCGGTCTTGGCGGGCGCGGGCCGCGCGCAGAAAGCGCGTGGCAGCGCCTGGCGACGCGCGCAGCCGGCCGGCCGACGCGTCGCGCCCTGGCCGCCCCGCCTTGATTTCGAGGCCGAGGATGACCAGCGGAGACCCCCAGGCGATCTTGTCCGGCGCCACCGCGCCCGGGCCGAGCATCAGCTGAATTAGCTCCGCCAGCTGGGCTGCTGCCTGTTCCACCACTTCGGGGTGATCCGGCCCGAAATAATCATCCACGTATCGCAGTGCGGCGATCCGCAAGAGCAAGCGCGCCGCTTCCGCGATGAAGGCGCCCACTCGCGCCCAGCTGTGCACCGATGACGTGGCCCCGAAGGGCGCTGCCGCGTGCTGCGCCGCCCAGACCTGCCCGGCTGCGCTGAAGACGATCCAGGCGAATCGGCGGTGCTCAGCGCGAATGGGCACGCGACGAAAGGCAGCGTCGATGTCTGCCTTCCAGAGGGCGGGTGCCCGCCCCGCGATTTCCTGGAAGATGCGAGCTGCCTCGAAGAGCGCGTCCACGGCGCGGTGGTGGAGCCGTTCCTGAGGGCACGTCGCCTCGTTAATCCTTGCCTTGGTCATGTCGTCGACCAACCGGAATTTCGAGGACCCGTCCTCACGCAATTGCTCAACCGCAAACCTCGGAGCTATGACGGCCCCTTCCAAGCACACGTCGCGGAGCGGCACCGAGCAGCTGATGCGCCCCAGCGCGGACTCGTCCCTTGTCTTGCGAAGGGTGGCATCGCCGTGCGCGCCGTCGCGGAGACCAGAGGAAATGTCTCGATTCGCCGACTCGGCGTTGCCCAGCAGCTCCGCGATGCCCAGACGGGGAGGAAACACCTCTTGGCTGCCGTGGCCCGACCGCGGGAGCTCGCCGACGAGGGGCGCCCCCGCCCTGAAGAACTCTACGCAACCTGGGTCGCAGAAGGCAATGCGCTCCGCGATTCCAGCGCAGAGAAGCCTGCTCACGTGCTGTGCGACGCGCCGCATGGCGGGGTCCACGCCCTGGAACCATTCTTCCACGGCGCCGCTGGCCCGAAGAGCCCGATCCCTCTCGCGAAGTGCCGCGAGTGCGCGCTCGCGGAATGCCGCCGCGTCGGCGGGGTGCGGTCTGCGCGGCCCACCGCGCTGCCCCTGCGGCAGCGTGGGCGGCAAAGCCGAGGCCGCGGCGGGGCGCCACTTGCCCCAGAGCGCGGGGTTGCCGTCCGGCGCCCTTGCCAGAAAGGTGAGTTTCTCCGCGTCGCCGCCGCTACTGCTGCCGGCGGCGACGCAGGTGTCGCGCCACGCGCTGTCGCTGCAACGCCGCGACCAATCGCTCCCGAACTGCGGCCCCGGCGGCGCTGGCGGCGCCGGCATCGCCTGACGCGCGCCGCCGGCGCGCCCGCGACCGAGCGCAGGGACAACGCGTGCCTTGCGAGATTTGACGACGACGCTTGCAGCCCTAGGCGCCGCCCGTTTCCGCGCGCCAGATGCGGGCGGCGGCGGGGGCGGCGCCTGCGCGGCCGGCATCGCGCGCGATTGCAAACAGCAGACGTGGATAAGGCGCCAAAGCGTTGCAAAACCGCCCACGCGCTGCCCCGCGGAACTCCCCCGCACGCCCCGCCCTGGCTGGCCGCGGCCACGGCCAGGCCTGGCACGCGCAGCGCGGCCTGGCAAGGCGAGGCGACCCCCGCGGCAGAAACGCACGCGGCATGTCCCGGCACGCGCGCAGGCATGCGCAGAGCGCACGGGGCAATTTTTGGCGTTACAGCGTAGAACGCGCGCGCGCCCGGGTCACGGCCCAGACCCGGCGCGGGCGGAAACAAGCTTAGCGCGCGAGCCGTTTTGACGGCTGAAGGGCCCCACCTCTTCGGGGGCTCGCGCGCGCCTGGCGGGAGCGGCGCTCAGCGCTTCGCCGCGCGCGGCGGCGCCCTTGGCTTCCGCGCGTCCTTTCTCTGCCAATCGCCGCCCCACGAGCGCTCGCGCTTCTGTCCTTTCGGCCGCGCGTCCCAGGAGCCGCTGCTCAAATTCTGCGTGGGGCGCCACGGCTGGCCGGCCCCGCCCGCCCCGCGCCCCTCCTCGGAAGCGCGGGCCGCTTGCGCCTGCACGCGCGGAAACGGCGGAGAAGGGGGGGAAAAGCAAAGCCGCGCGGCGCGACGCTCGCCGTCGCGTGGGAGGCGCCGTCTTCCTTCTCGCGAGCATCCCGCGCCAGCTGTAGGGCGCGCGGGTCGACCCGCAGGATTGCTTTCCCCAGCTTGAAATCTGGGCCCCCCGAGCGCAGCTGCTCGGCTCCTAGCTGCGCCGCGCCGGCACGAACGCAGGGCGCCGCGCAGGCACGAACGCGGGGGCGCGCCTTGCGCGCCTCCTCGTCGCACGCGATGCCGAGGTGCACGCGGCGCTTCGAAGCCGCGGCCTGCACGGAACGCGCGGCGAACAGAGTGCAACAAGAAAAACGCGCGCGCGCGGCCTGAACTGCTATCTTCAAGCAGTTGCCGCGATGCGCGACAGTCTCAGCCAGCGTGAGCTGCCCCGTGGCGACGAGCGCGATCGCGAACCTGCCGCGCTCGGCGCGATCGCGGGCACGCGCGGGGGGCGCGCGACGGGGCTGATGGCGCAGGTCCCACGCCAGCTGCCAGTGGCATAGCGTCAAGAAGGCCATCTTCTCGGGCCCCTTCTTCACCGCCGCAACTTCCTGCGGGGCGAGCGCCCGCGCGCGGGCGAGGCAGAGCCGGCGACGCGCGCGGGCAACGAGCCTTGGCCAGGTCCCGAATATCTTTGCTGGCGCTGCTCGACGCGTCGGCCTTATCCTCGGCGTCGCGAGGGCCCGAGCGGGCCCTATCGGGCACCCACTTGCGGATGTCCGCATGCAGGAATGCGCGCGCTTCCTCGCAGGATTCATTTTTCT